GCTCCTCTCATTCTTCCTGATATTTTAGTTCTTTAAAATGAGTCCCATGCTGTAAATAATTTCTGATGTTTTTAGTAATTACGTAAGGTAAGCAGTTACAAGTTACCAGTTTGAAACTGATCGCTGGACATTCCTTCCCTTCTGTAAATACAGGCTGCCCCTTGGTGACAGGGCACTTCATGTCCAAGAATGTTTATAAGCACTTTGGCCTGCGGAGCCACTTAGCCAAGGAAGCAGGTGGGTGATGTCACTGTGCGCACAGGCTAACAGCCACACATTTGGGACACTGAGTTTCTCAATTTTTCCACCACCTGTACTCACAAATGCCCGTCTGCCAGGCGTGAGGTGACACACAATAGTTCAAGAACTGGTCTAGGCATGATAATGAATTTTTTCCAACTCATTTAAAACAAAACAAAACAAAACAACCTCTTTGCAGAGTAAGAAAAACATATCAATGCACAGAGAATCATCAAGGAACCTTAGAGTCAAATAAAAATTGGCAAAAACAAAAGACTAGTTTTGCAATTCATGCTTCAAAAGAAAGTGTGTGGGGTAAACTGAATGAACAGGAGGTGGCAGGATCTGGGAGGTCCAGGCTATAGGAGGCCCTGGGTGTTCTGGAGCCACGAGTACACGGATCTGTGACACAAAGCCCAAGATTAGGCCGAGTGTGCTTACTGAAAGCAAAAAGGAGTGATCAATGACCCTAAGGGCTTGGGAACTATTAGAGCCATTATTATGGAGAGATAATTCTGTTGAACATCTGCAGCCCCAATAGTGTGCAATTCAATATTCAGTTAATTGTATAAAAATGCAGATGCAATGAAACATAGCCATGTATGTATCATGTATCAGTCACACATGTCATATGAAAGTTAAAGAAATTTTTTCCTCTGAAAATCTCCTTCCAACAGATGTGTTTATGCCTATGCATACAATACAGTACCCAGTGGGGCTCAGGGGCTGAGTTCCTTCCCCGTTATATCTATCCTGACTGTCGTGAAGCAATGTTTTAAGGGCCAAAGAGAGCCTTGGCTATTGCACATGCACCCTCAAAAACAGACAGCATCCGTGGCTGTTTTCAGAAAAACAGTGAAAAACGTTATCACAGGAGTGATTCAAAGAGATAGCTGTCCTCCTAAGTCCTAGTGTGGGCTGACAGGACAAGTGACACTGTAGTTTGGGCTTTCAGGGATCATCACTTTGAGGATGAATGAGATCTACAGAGTAAAAAGAAAAAAAAAATCAAGGAAGAGTGAGTTTTCCCACAAACTAGCATGGCCATTATTTTTGTCCTACGATAAGTGAAAAATACACTGGCACGTACCATCATTAAGGAAAATAACAAGGAAGGACAGAGAGCTCATTTCCAAAGTATTTAATATCCTGTGCTTATTTCATGGTTGTCCATTTCAAGTGCACTGTTCTTTTCAAATCAAACAAAGAATAAATATCCTTATCTAGGGTAACAAGTGGAAGAGATAAAAAGTATCTCCCTAAAATATAACTACATGATGGAACAGAGACAAATATACTAAAAACTAACCTAGAGACAATTTCATGCAAATTTTCAGGCAAGACAGTTGAACAATTGTGAATTAACACCAATAACCTTAGTTTAGAGAAAATCTCAGTGGGTTTGGAAAACAGAATGAGAGCCACCAAAGAAGTTCTAGAACTCTCCCTCAAGGGAAGAACATCAGGCAGTACAAAGACAGCTGTCCATCTAGAAGGTAAGGTCTAGGCACAGAAGTATCTGCTATTCCTAGATCTGAATTTCTGATCCACAGAACTGTCACTCTGTCAGAAGTGTCTGCCATGGGATTGCGGCTATGACCCTTTGACCAAAATAAACTTAGCAACAGAAAGGGATGCCACCTTAGACCATGGCAACCCGGATTCATTAGACTACCTAAGAAGACCAGAGAATCCTGGAAGGTGATGGATGGACAAACAGAATCCACAGCAAAGGGTAGTGAGGAACCCAAAACTACTCTACAGCTTTACAATTTTGGTTGGGTCTAAGGTCTTTTCAATTTATAATCATGGCCTGAGGACACTAAAGAGAGTAATTCAGAGTGTTTGCTAATCCAGTACCCCATTTTATGCTTCAGTAAAGAAAATGGTATGTTGTATCTACAAAATATAGGGTAAATCTAAGGAATACTTCCATCCACCCTCATAAGAGCTAGTGGACAGTAATTAAGATGAACCCTGTCACCGGTACTTATTTTAGAAATACACATGCACACAGTGACTAAACAATTACTCTTTGTTCCATTTGTTTTGCTCAAAACCCCGCTAAAGGTTTCTGCCAAGAAGCCAGGTTCTGAAATGCTATCAGTGATTCCTCAAGAAGACCAAGCAAATCTGGTTTGTTTTCTTCCTGCGAGAAACAAATACTTAGCTTATCTTCCTGAGCCACAGGCTTAGCAAGTGCTGTGGAGTTAATTCTTCAGAAGCACCCCAAAGAATGTGTGTTGGGGGATGTTCTGAGTGAGTCAGGGCACCCAGGAGTAACAGTTGGGAATCATCCCAGAAGCGGCAGAGCAGCAAAAGGCTCACCCCCGGCCCCTCCCTTCCTCGGTATCTACTCCAGTTTATCACACATAAACAAGACTATTCCAGAAGCCTCTTCTGTTCAACGCGATGTCTAAAGAAACAGCGTTCTCAGGGGTGACATAACACTATCATTCATACAGTTCTCTGATGATAAAGAGATTTTTCCCCCAAAATCCGCAATTGGTTTATCATTCCCTATATCTGGCAAACAACTGAATTAAAAATTTGGGGCAAACTGTTGCTATCTGACACTTCTTGGCAATGTAAATTAACCACACCTACCAAGAAGGCCCTAAGAAATGGAATAACGAAGCCAAGTCTGTCGAACTTATTTGCAGTTGCTCATTCCTGGCACAGAGCTACATTTTATTTGCTTCGCTGACCTTTAGGAATCCCTTCCGGCCGCTCTTAGTTTGCCTTTCGCAGGACTCAGGCTGAGTGAACAGACGCACAGGGCGACTGTACCCCGTGACCCTCTACCCTAAACAGGGGTACGCGACAGTCCCCCACTCCTTTCTCACCATCTCCGCATCCAGATGCACGTAGGGCATCTGGGCTCCGCTTAAGGACCGCCGGTTCCCGACTCGCTCGCTAGAGGGCAGACGGGGCCCGTGCAAAGCCTCCGCACGGGACACGCGCGCACCCCGCTGCGGCTCCAGCGCTCTCGCTCCCGGGCTAGGCTCAGTCGCTCCGGCGCCTGTGGGAGATTGCGCGCGAGCGCTGGGCTCCCCGACCCTGGGAAGGTGCGGGTCAGGATTTGCACCCCGCATCCTGCGCACCAAGCGTGAGCACCTAGGTGGAGGGCGGCCCCGGACTGGGGAAACCGCGCCTAGCTCCGCGGACGCCACGGGGCAAGGCCGGGCATCCGGGGCGCAGGGCGTGGGCGACGGCACCAGAGCGGGAGGTGGACCGCGGGGCCCGGCCGACCCGCGCACTCACCTGGCCTCGAGTCGCCCTCCGCGGGCTCAGGCTTCTTGCCCGAGCCTCGGTCCTTCTTCCTGCCCTTCCCCTTGCCTCTGCCTTCTTTGCGCTCGGACATCTCGCTGCAGAAGTGAGCGCTCGACGTGGACGGCTCCCGGCGGAGGCGACGCGCGACAAGTTTGTACCAAGGGTTTGGATCGGGAATGGGGAAAGTTTGTCCCTCCAGGGGCGGCGGCCTGCAGGGCTGGGGCGTCTCCCCTTGCCTGCAGGGAGCTGCGTGAGGCAGAGTGCGGTCTCGACCACCTGGAACCAGCAGGAGCTGAGTCGGAGGTCGCCGGGTCCCGCGGCTGCTAGCTCTGGTCGCGGCCCGAGAGGGAGAAGCGATCCGCGTCCCGTGCGCACTCCCTGCGCCGCTCCGCTCCTGCCCTCCGCGAGCCCGGAGTCCCGACAAGTTTGGGGGAACTCCTCGCCGGCTCTTTTTCAATTGCCCCACAGCTACCCACCCACCCACCTCCCCCCGCAGGTTGGCCGCTGGCGCCTCCTTCTCACCCTCCCCTCGCCTCGCCCCCTCCCTTTCCCCACCACACCCCCACCCCAGGGGCGGACACGCCACCGGGAGGAGCCTGGGCTCGGCGCTCCCGGCGCAGCCCCTTCCCTGCGCGCAGGCCGGGCTGCCGGGAACCCCCGACAGGGGTCGCTGTACGCCGCGCTGCTGCGGAGCAGAGCTCTGCTTCCCAGGAGGGACCAGACGACGGCGGTGGCTGCAGCGCTCCCCAGCAGGGTGGCAGTGCCCGAAGGGCACGTTCACGCGGAGAAAGGGATTGGAGAAAAGGTTTGCGCTCTGACACCTGCTCCCTAAAGGAAGGTTCCTGAGCCTTGGAACGTTCCAGAAGGGGAAGAACATTTGTTAGTTTTCAGAAAAGCTCAGAGTTCATTCCTTCCCGGCTTTAGGGAGCCATCCCAAGCCCCGCACGCGTGCGCGCGCACGCTGGCCAAAGGTGAACTCGGTGGGGGGGGGGGGTCGGCGGGTTAAGGTAAGTGGGTCTAGCTACCCGGCGCTCGGTGAGCCCCGAGAATGACCCGAGCACTGTCTCTGGAGATCTGCGCCTAGTGCGCTTCTTTCTATTCACAAGCTTAATAATGCGCCTACTAGAATTTACATCTCCAAATTTTCTTTAAAAACCAGCAGACCTCTAAGCGCCTGCCTGGCAAGCGCTGGTACCAAAAATAAAAATAAAAACAACCTGGCCAGGACTGCTCTCCAGAACTATCGCAAACTGTTACTACAGCTTAATATTCAAAGCAACTGACTAGCCCGGGGTCCTAGCACGAGCCACGGTAACTGAACAGCTGGCAATCGGTTCCGCTGAGCGGGAGGGGGAGGGCGAGACCTGATGAAGATACGGGCCAGGTAATCCTTAATCATTATTGCTAGTGTGCGCCACTCAGCTGTCCTCGGGACTGCACGTGAGACCCACTCTCCTCTCCTTGTCCTCCCTCTGGTGGAGAATTCCAAAGACAAAGCATTGGTACCCTGCTGCAAAGGACCAAAATGAAAGGCCAGAGATACCCGCAGCACGGATTGAACCCCCGTGGCCTCCAGGTAAAGAAAGCACTCATGGTTCTGCCGGGGTCCTTGGCTCGCTGTGCGTTGCTGTGGTCAGGAAGCGGCGCGCGAGAACGACCCCTAGTCAGCCTCTGCACTTGGAGAGAGCCTTGATCGGCTTTCCCCTGCTCTGGGGTTGATTCTGACTGAACCGCTACCTCTGCTTTGTTTGCTTTCTCTAATTGCCACAGTTTAAATGCAGGTGCAACCCGGGCGTGGGGCCCGCCTTCCTAATATACCTGTGGGAAGGGCCAGAACGGGAAACCAAAATTGACATTTGTAAATTGTTTTAAAATAAAACTTAGTTTATTCCAGTTTAATTTGAATTGGAATAAGACCCAAACTGTTGGATAGGTTTACTTATTAAAAGTTGCCTTAAGCAGTGTAGCCTTCTTTACTTTTTAGCAGTTTGATGGCCACATACCTTCTGACAGCTTTCTAATAAGGACCAAACGCAAATTTGACTGTTGCATAAAAGGAGTGAAACCGGAGGAAAGATTATGAATATATGTCAACAGCACTGTAATATTCCCCAGCGCGGCACATAGGATGGACTCTGAAGGTTTGCTGAAATAACTCTGCTTTCCCAGGAGGGGCCACTGCTCTGCAAGGAGGGACAGAGTGTTCAGAAAACGGAAGTCTTCTGGAGCGAGCTCAAGGAAGAAAGGTGTAAGGGTGTAAAAGACCCTCGCTGCAGGCTCTCGAGCATCATTATCCTAGAGAGCAGGGACTCAAAATTAAAACAAAAGTAAGATCTTCCGAAAGTATAGTAAAATTCAAGCTTATAGCGCTCACTTTTGCTTTAGTACTAGATACCTTGCAAAACAGCTTATCAATGAATAACAATTTTTCAAATGAAGATATTGGAAAAAGCTCCTATTTTGTGATAACTCTCTTTGATCCTATAGACGATTTTTTTCAAAACCAAGAGGAAAGGACCACAAAGTTGACTGATATTCCTGGATCTTTAAAATAAAGCAAGGGCAGTGACATTCCTATGGAAATGTTAGAACTAGGAAATGAATCAATATGAAAAGAGGAAAGTGAGTGTCAACTAGCATTTATAATTATTTTCCTGAGGTTGGGGTCGTGCGATGAAAAAGGAAAATAAACACTGAATGACAAAAGCTGAAAGAGCTTTTTTAAAAGAGGATCAAGCAACGCTGAAGGCAAGGCTGCTTCCTGCAAGAGGTCCAGATCCTGGGGGCTCTTTCACTTGTCAACTGCAGCTCAATTGTCAGGACATTCAGGGCAAAGCTCCCAATTCTTTTTTCTACCAATACATTGTTTAAATGTATTTTAGCTATTTTAATTCATTTTATTGTACAGGGGGTTACTTTGATATATTACTTTCAGCCAGCAAAAAGATTAACCAAATGAAAGTCAGTTTCTTTGATAGTTAAAACATTTATCAGATTTATCAACAGTTTGAAATTATCCTTAAATTATTCCTCTCTGTGATCACTAAATGGGAAATGAATTTCTGTGGCATTTAAAAAATATTGCAACTGACTATAACAGAAGAAGAATATTTTTGCTTTTAAAAATATGTAACTCAACTGTATAATGTAGAAATGATATATTTGCATGGCTTATTTCATTAATTTGATGTGTATTGTTCATATCTTCAGAATGCATTGTATAGGGCATATCAGCTCTCAACTCAGGGCAGCCTGTCATTGTATCTAAACTAAAAGAAGAATAGAGCATTTAAGTAAGCATATTGAGGGGAAAAAGGCAAAATCTAGCTCTTATATAAAACGACACCTTAAAAGAAGTGCAATCATATATCATTACAATTTTTCTTTGGTTAGATTTACCCTTTAGAAGCAGTCTCAGAATCTACAAAAATGGTTGAACATACTCGGAATAATTCCTTTTTGGGAAATATGCCAAGAAAAATTCTAAGTGGGAAAAATTTAAGGAAGCCTACCATCTGAGAATAGATTGAATATGTGTCAAACATGCATTTGACAGTAATGAAAATTTAATTTAGAATTCTGCAAATAGTTACTTTTCACTCTTTAAAATAAAGTAATTTAAGATGGTTTAAAGAAAGACTACCTTTTAAAAAAGTTTTGTGACAAATTTGACATTGATGAAGATTCATGAATGTAAAGAAAAATCTCGCCAGTCAACTCTGAAACAGTTACTAAATGTACGTGATTCATTCAACCAACATTTATGGAACTAGATGCTTCCCATTAGAGACAAACATAAAATAGTAGCCCATGTTTGCACAATGCTAAAATATTTTAAAAGATATAAAACAAATTATAATACAATGTGAAAACAAGTTAGATAGGTTATTTGAAGCCTGGAAACTCATAAAATTGAAGGGAACTTTTTAAAGGATAACAATATAAAATTAGAAATACAACATTATACTGGAGATAGAATGTTAGAGCAGATACGTAGCATGCACATGGCCTTAGGTTCAATTCCCAGCACCAAGATAAAGCATACATATTTAGGTACAGCGATATTAATAGGTTCCTTTTAGGTGAGAGGCCTCAGTGTTTCATTATTCATTAACCTGATATTTAACTTACATTGATTTCAAGCGTACCTTTTTTATCATCTGCCATAATTATAGTCATGGCACAGGACAATTCTATAGTTTAGAGATTAGATAAATACATTACTATTAATAAGAGATGTAAGAGACAAAAGAAATTCAAATCAGAAGAAATAGAACTGAAGCAAGCAAGGACCGTGAGGGAAGAGAGTGACACGAAAGCCGCTGTAGTAGAATTCACAGATTTGTGATTGTTCTGTATGTTTATTTAGACTCTTAGGATCAACATTCAAGATAAGTTTGTTAAACAGAGTGCTTCTGGCCTGAAAGATAGCTCTGGCAAAGCTAGGGAGGGTTTATTCCGTTACATTTGGCTCATACTGAATAGAACTAAGTAAGCACATTCTGTCTGCTGTGAAGTCAGTTGTGTAACAGAACTGTAAGTGTAGAATCCAAAGAAAGATTGTAAAAAGATAATTTTCAAACCACATTAAAATGAAATATGTTTGTGTTTGTCTGCTTGTGGGATTAAAAAATTTACCACATATCAATGACTGCTATTATTAATTTGCCATTAATATTAATGATGAGTACTACTGATTGATAATATGGATTGAAATGTGATAATACACTTGACTAAAGGGCTGGAGAGACAGCTTAGTGATCTAAATGCCTTCCTGGTGAGCTCAAGGACCCACGTTTGATCCCCAGTACCATATGCCTTGCTAGCCCTGGAACCCAGCCAACAAAACCAGGTGTGGTGATGCATACCTGTGTTCCTAGAGCTGGGGAGGTTGAGACAGGAGGATCACTATGAGTCTGAGCTCCATAACAACACCCTGTACCAAAGAAATGATAAAAAAATACACCTGACTCTGAAAACCTCTAATTTCTTTTGTGATAAGATTAGTATGTGATTTAATCAATTTTGAAAATAATTTAATTTCTTATAAGAACACCAGCTATTCTTTTTCTTTTCTCTTTTTTTTTTTTTTTTTTTTTTTTTTTTTTTTTTAGTACAGGCTGTACAGGGTCTTACTCCATAAATTGGACTCAGTGATTGTCCTGTTTTTAGCCTCCCAAGAGCTGGGTTTACAGGCACATGCCACCATGCCCAGTCTCAATCACAACCTCAGCACACTCTGGGAGCAGGGCCAGCATGGCACACAGGGACCAAACCCCAGTCCCTGCTTCTGCCTAAGCAGGCACTTTAATCCACTAAGCTATCTGGCTGGCCCTCTTCTTTCTGACTTCCACATTAATCTTTTTCCTTCCAAATCCTCTTGTCACACACTTACTTAAATGAGTACATGATGCAAATATATCAATTTACATACATCTACAAATGTATATTCATGAATATAGACATTCATGTGCATACACATCTGCTTGTATGGTACACATATAGTTACTCTTTTGCGTTCTTTTGGAAATGCTAAACAGCCACATTTTTCATATTGCTATCCATTAGAATTCCTAGCACTGTATTTTATATGTGATAAACAGCAAATATATTTGCATAAAATGAATTTAAATGGAATAAATATGAAAAGCTGATCCTGATATTAGTTTTCTCCCCATCAGCTACTAATGATCTGGCAATCATTCTGGCACTTCCTTTCTATGGCCTAGCCATCTCCACAGCTTGTCATTTTTGGCTTCAGCCTCCTTTTGCACTTCATCAAGTGTCACCAAAATCCAAGCCTTCATTCTTTCTCTGCTCTGACTGTAGTAACTTTCTATATGGACACTTTCTTCCTCTGACTGCCAGATAGAGCAGTCAGAAAAGTGTCTTTGAAATTGATGCAAATGAAATTTAGTCACTCTTTGCTTCTCCAGTCCCTATCCTGACCAAGGCTGCACCTAACGCCAGCCCACCTCATTGTGCTTCCTGTATGGAGGCCGTGCAGCACACCTCTGCGGCTCCCCACTTCTCCCCAGCCTCAGTGCCTTTGCACTTACTCTTTGCTGAGTTCGTTCATGGCCATCATACTTGGCCAAATTCCACTGATGGCTCAGCACCCAAACGAATTGCATCTGCTTTCTTTACCTGCAGAGGTATTTCAGCCTCTCTTTTCATCTCTGTTATGGTTTGTGTCTCATGATCCCCCCTAAAGCCTCATGCAGCCATGGGGTGGACTTCTAGAGTTTGTGATTAACTTATGATCCACTGGGATTATGGGTGTGAGTGCTGCACCCAGCCTGCGGCAGACAGCCTGAGTGTGACTGAAGGGAGACAGACTTCCTCTCTGTTCCTCTCTTCTTGCTGCTACTCCTGCTTTTGCTCTCTGTTCTTTGCTGCCTCCATGAAAGGCTGCCCTCTGCCGTGTGCCACTGTGCCTTGGAGCCAGCTGAGGATGGACTGACACCTCCACTGAGTGAGCTACGTACACCTTTCTTTCCTTCATTTTGAATGTCGGGTATTTGTCGCAGCCACAAGAGCAGAGTAACAGATAATCTCCCAGCCCACTGCTGCATCTCCTTCATAACACTTCTTCCACTTTTTAGCTATGTAATTATTTTGTTATTATTTTGTACAATGAACTCTTCCCAATAGATATAAATAAGTTTATGAGCAAAGACTGTAATATTCACTCTTATATATCAAGTGCAGCATTGTACCAATTTCAACTTAGCTAATACCTATATTTTGTTCATGAATGAACAAAGATCAATAGATGTCTATGTACATAAAACATGCACGTGTACTATGTTATTTTGATCAGATTTGGGGGATGCTAAGGATGGTTAGGATAGCAGGCATGACAATTTAAGGTAAGTGTGGTTTGTTTGTTTTTGTTTTTTTTTTTTTTAAAGCCTTTTAAAGAACAACTACACACAAAAAAAAAATCTTGACCCACCAGTCTAATACTTCAATACTTTAAGAGAAGTGATAACTTTTATAACATGATGAAATTCAAAGGAGAATATTTTCTTCTAAGTTGCCTCTGTGAGTTCACCTGTAGATTTACTAGATTTATTTTCTCCCGTGGATTCTGGGGAGCTGTAGGTCACCCACAAAATATCTAGGTACCGGCAAGGAATTCTAACAGTAATAGATAAAAACCTCCATACACATAACAGGTTTAAAACCCCCTACTTATCCTGACCCTCATGATATAAAATTCCTCTTTTAGTAAGTTATTTTTCACATCACAGGCCACTGAGAAGTCCCTCTGTAGGCAATGAATCAAATTACAAGTTGTCTATAGTAACCA